CAGAATTTCCACAGTCATTACGTTCCTCGTCGCTTTAAACTTAATGACTTTTATAAACACACGCTATAATCACAGTGATTCTCAAGCTCGATAACTCCACTCTGTGCGACTGCAAAACACAGAAACAGAATCGACTGACCGTGACTCGATTATCTATCTCTTCAATGACGCTGGTTTTTTTTCGCCAGACATATATACTAAAAAAGGGGGATATCTAGATCACACTCGAGTTGGTAGACAAATTCGTGATCCGTCGAGAAACTCAAGCACGCATGCTCCCAGAGTCGCGTGACTTCTGTTGTCGTGACATATATATATAGACGACTGAGTGAGTGCAAGTTAAGTCAAAAAACGTTACGTTAGTGAAAGTGAAGTTAGACTGTGCAGTTGTTAGTTTAACTGCAATGGGTAATATTTTAATGTGGGTTTCTCAGTTTAACAGAGAAAAGGATAACAGTTTGTCTTTTCATAGGGTGTTCTAATGTAATTAAACCCACATGTGTGGACGTTGAACAAAATAAGACAATTATTTAAAGGTCTAGATACAACTGTGATAACCCACAGGATAACGTAAGCGAATTATTCACTGATGCTATTGTGATAAGAGTAGAGAAAAATAATTCGTTTTGTCAATTGGATTGTAAAGTAATTGAATCAGCCTGTGTGGACGTTTGAGAATAAAATGTAATTATTTAAAGCTTTAGATACAATTGTGATAATCAATGTGGTACCGAGTTTTTCTTGTACATACATTGGACTTGTTTTGAATATATTATTTTAAAACAAGTGGAATGTGTGCTGTCTGTTTATTGTTCGAATTTATCGCCAACAAGTCACAGACACCTACTGTAAATAATCTGGTCCCATAAACCTGACATATAGAGAAATCACCTTTCGGATACAGCAACCTCATTTCATGTGCTATTTGCTAAACACACAGTGTGCCCTACTTTGGTATTTTCAGATTTTCTATTGGATGGTGTCACTGGACAATTATTTTTTTCTTATGCTGTGTCCTCCTTATGTTCGCTTATGGGATTATCAATGATAAGGGTCAGCCTTATTTGTTCAAGTATGTAGCAGTTAGTTCTGCCAGTCCAGATCAGATTCTCTTTTGATATGAAAATCTCTCCAGATTCCAGAGAGTAATATTTCTAGACTATTTAACTACTCATCATTTTTGACTTGTTATCATTTTGATAAATAAAAATTGATTTTTACATTAGTTATTTAGTCTCTCTGTTTCTTTTTACTTCTTCAATTCATGAGTTAAATATACCTTTGCATTACACTTTCTAGTTTTCTTTTAGTTATTTCATTTACTATGTCTATCTGTGAGATTATCAGCTGACCTAGGAATACCTGTCTTGGTGCTTTAACCAAAGAATTTGTTACTGCAGATTTTTTCAGTTTTTATTAGCAGTCGTACTTTTTCTGCCAATGTATATTATTGTGTTACATAAGTATTCTACTTCAATCAAACTTAGAAATGCCATTTTCAGGTGAAGGATTTATGAGCAAGGAGAAGGGTTCGACATATAAAATGGATCACAGTTTCAGAGACTAAGAGGAAAGCTGGGCTCATGGCAGCTGGTGTAGTATTTGATGGTGAGTCTGGCTGGATTAGTGCTTGACCCAGTTGAACACTTGGACAAGAAACGATTTAGTGACTAGAAACTGTTGTGGTTGAGATGTGTCAACGTTTCAATGATGTAGAGAACTGAGTTATACAAGATCAAAAAGGGAACCACCAGAAAAGAGAACTTACATGGATGGCATACATCATCTATATGGGAAAGCATACCCAATTGTAACATCAGTAGATCACAAGGATATCTTCATTGATAACTTCAGGGAGAGACTGACAAGTGTAACAATGCCAGTAGCTGTACCTTGGCCAAACTACCTTTCTGAAATGTCTATGTCATGTAAAGCTCATGTTCTTCTAAAGGCTACCCAGCTACAGGCACATTTCAGTAAGCTTGACCAGTGGTGGTTTGCCAAGATGAGGCACTGCTTCATATAGAATTTCCATATTTATGTCCCTGATCTAAATTGTGAAACCAAACCTATTTTTTCTCATTAACTATCTTTTAATTCTAATGATTTATGAGAGTCTAAAACATTGATTAATTGCTATTAAAATTCCAATCATGACTTAATTAAACAGTAAATGTGTTCAAACAAAGAATACTAAGCGTGTTAGAATGGCCCATTGCCATGCCAACAGAAGAACTTTGTTAAGTCATCATTAGATGCCGTGGGAAGCTTTGTGTACTCATTGGTGGCTGGTGATCTTCTTGACTGGTGAAACATATATTATATATGCCTACATATTCAACCAAATGAAATCAATATGTGTTGCGTACAATAATTCTCACTTTTTCACTAGGCAATCTATAACTTATTGTTTCACAGATAATGTCTCTGATATCTCTCTCCAAATAGTGCTCCGGTTTGGAGGATCAAAGCTACCTAATGAACTACCCATATCGTTTTTCTCAACAATACTGATGCAATATATAGTTCTGCCCAACTACTCAGCAGATGAAGGACTATCGAAGACAAGGTGAATTGTAAATGATTTAAATAAAATTGATAATAATTACACTTATTCCAGTTCACACCCTCACAACTGTTCTTCATCCAATTGGCAAAAACTCAATATATCTTTTGTATCCAAGCTGGTCTTATGAGACCTGGGAAAATAGTCCGCCCCTCAGTGGCTCAATGGTAAGTCTGAAGGCTTATAGTACTAAAAATCGAATTTCGATACACATTATGAGCATAACACAGATAACCCATTGTATAGCTTTGTGCTTAACGACAAACAAACAAACAAATGTCCTGGTTGGCATTGGATGTGATAGATATAGCATGGATGACATATTTTTACATATTCTTCTTTGCTTTCACCCATAATTTCTTAGATTTGGCTTAAGATTACGTGTGGATTACTAGTTTAAGTATGTAACCTGTGGGATGCCTGACTTTCTTTGTTTTGTAAAGTTATTTAAATCGATTATTTCTATAGTGTTTTCTCTTAGCTTTTGTGGTTTTGGTATTTTGATTTCTGCTTTCTTGATCTTAGCAGGCAGATGGCACAGAAGAATAACCCACCCAGTTCTGGTAATAGAACACCGTGTTTTTAATAAATAATATTTTGTTTCAAACCACACTTGTTTTCTCTACTGTTTATGCTAAATTTATTCTTCACTTCACAGTCCTGAACCTGCATTTTGCAGAAATGTTTGACTTTTCTGCTGGATATCAGTATATACTGTTATATATTACAATTTCGAAAGTTCTGAAACTGAGTTAACTGATAAATTTACATTTAGTAGTTAAATTGTATTTTGGATTTAGCAGTTAAGTAAAAGCCGATATATAGTC